GACTATGGGACTACAGGCATGCACTACCATGCCCAGTTAACTTTTTATTTTTTGTAGAGAGTGTTCTGTCATGTGACCCAGGCTGGTCTGGAACTCCTGGGCTCAAGCGATCCTCCAGCCTCGGCCTCCCAAAGTGCTAGAATTACAGGCATTAGCCAATTCACCTGGTCTCCAACAAGTCACTCTTAAGTGACCTTGAAGCTAAAACTCAAGATAAGACCTTGCAACAAAATGCATTTTAGAAATCTACAAAACTCTTCTACTTCTTCAGGCTGTAAGTATACTCAAAATCCATAGAAACAGAAATCCAGGAATTGCTGTTTTCAAATGATGATAATTTTAAGGCAGGCATGCAATTTAGAAATGCAATTCATTGAGAACTCCTTTGAGTATGTGTACCTTCCCTTTGATTTTTTAATGGAATTTAAATGTAACTATAAGATGTTCATCAATGCTAATGAAATTATATACTAGAAACTGATAAAACCAGAATAATCTGGGATAAACAAGTATGGTACCCGGAATTACTAAAGCCTGAGGATACATAAAGGATAACAAGAATACACATTAAATAAAACAACTAACAACCTAAGTTAGAGCAAAAGGGTCTAAAGTAATCAAGAGTAGCAGATGAATAAATAGGTAGTTGCAGAGGATGTAATAACCTCAATATGTATAGGACTGGACACAGAACAGATAATGCAGCCAGTAAAATCAGCTCAAGATGTCCAGAGTCTCCCAGAAAAATAACTTTAGCTTAGACCTGAAATTCCAAGTGTTCAGGCCAAATTCAACAGAAGAAATCCTTTTTAATCCTTTGAATGGGAACAACAAATAAAACCAGTGGTGAACATTCTGTCAACATTCTTTTATTTAGTTGTTCACTGGGCACCTATTTGGCACTAGATATCTTACCATTTGATTATGCACAATACAAAGTAATCAAAGAAGCTTACTAAAGCAGTGCACTTTATAATAGTGTATAAACTGAAAAATGGAAAACCAGACTAAGATGGCAAATTATTACCAATATAATGTCAAAGTCTGCTGTGTAACTCATTACAGTTCTGAGGCTCAGGCCTACTCTTACCACATCTGACCTACAGTATTATTTTATCTATATTCTATAAAGTCACACTTATATCAAGAATCAGAGCACACCCAACAAGAATAAAATTACACAATATAGGTAGATTATCAGGAAGCTGAAGTGAATTTTTCCATAACGCCCTCTTTCTGTGGGGATAGACATGCATGAAGAATGGCCAACAGCAAGATATACAAGAGTTGCTGAACACTTTACTAAAGTATGGCAATATTAAGCAGGACTCACCAAAGACAATTGTTTTTCTCTATTTTTGAGACAGAGCCTCACTCTGTTGCCCAGGTTGGAGTGCAGTAGCATGATCTCAGCTCACTACAACTTCTGCCTCCCAGGTTCAAGCGATTCTTGTACCTCAGCCTCCCGAGTAGCTAGGGTTACAGGCGCATGTCATGCCCAGTTGATAATTACTTTTCTGTTTTTGTAAAGATGCGGGATGACATAACTACAGCTGATTAGGAAGTTGCTCTCTGTATATCATATGAGGAATGAAATTTCTCTTTTGTGGGCAAAGGCATTAGGCCTATGATGACCTAGAAGGCATAACTGGAAACAAGAGCAACTCTGAAATGACTAGAGATACTTAATAAGACTCATATGTTTAGTGTGAACTACAGATTGCACAATGGGCCTTTCATCCAACTTCAATGGAGTATGTCATTTTCTTTCTTTCTTTTTTTTTTTTTTTTTTGAGACAGAGTTTCACTCGTTACCCAGGCTGGAGTGCAATGGTGAGATCTCGGCTCACCGCAACCTCCGCCTCCACCTCCTGGGTTCAAGCAATTCTCCTGCCTCAGCCTCCAGAGCAGCTGGGACTATAGGCGCTCGCCACCACGCCCAGCTAATTTTTGTATTTTTAGTAGAGACGGGGTTTCACCATGTTGACCAGGGTGATCTCGATCTCTTGACCTCGTGATCCACCCGCCTCGGCCTCCCAAAGTGCTGGGATTATAGGCATGAGCCACTGTGCCAGGCCTTCATTTTTTAAAATACTTTTATTTAAAAAACTTTTTCTTTTTTAGAGATGGGGGTCTCACTAATTTGCCCAGGCTGGTCTCAAACTCCTGGACTCAAATGATCCTCCCACTTTGGCCTCCCAAAGTGCTGGGATTACAGGCATGAGCCACGGTGCCCCACCAAGTATGCCATTTTCAAAAAGCAATGGGCAACCACATGGATTACTGCATTATTCTTCCGACTTCCTAGAAAGGCTTAAGACATCTAATCAATACATTTAAACATAACACATAATATTTAACTTGAGTTCATGTAATAATAAAAGTATTTAAAGAAATTAGAGATACTATCACCTTCAGATATAAATTTGACTAAAATGTTTTACTAAGCTACAGAGAAAGATGCAGTTACGTAGTTACCATTTACTAACAAACAAGGAGCATACATAATTATTTCCATAAATAATTTTCCTTGTAGCTAAACTCAGCAGAAATTTATGTCAATCCATGTGTGAAAGACATTGTGACACATTTAGCAATATAATTAACTATTATTTTGCCAGAGACATCAAAACAAATTCACAAGGCAGTTTCTCAATTAGGCCTCTGTATAAAAACAGCAAGCATAAAAATAAACTACAATTTAAGGGCATCATTTCTGCAAAGACTAAGACACTATAGGCCAAACAGCAATAGTTTTGCTTTGTCGAAGGCTAATGAAACAAAAGAAATAACTTAATCTAGACAGACACTTAACATAGCTATGAGACCATGGTAGTCCACACTGGCAATGCATTAGAATCACCTGCGATGAAGTGTTAGATTAAGTTTAAAATTAAGCTTTCTAAATTCAGTTTAAAATTAAGCTTTCTAACTAGTGTCTATAATGTATCTATTACATACTATTGATTAAAGAAAGTGCCACAAACAGGTATGATGATTAATGAAATAAGAGATATATAGAATTTAGCAGGGAAACTTCCATACAGTTGACATTAAGTAAATGTTATTTTCTACCTTCCAGAGGAGAGTAATGAAAGCTGGCATTCTCTATGTTATGGAAAATAGGAGTCACACTTATATTTTTTGTCCATAGAGGCTGAGGCTAATCTACTATAATCACAATTCTTTCGAGGAATACTTAATTTTCTCAAATTCACGTAACAATTTTTTTATGAAGAATATACATATATAAACTTTAAACTTGCTGGGCTTTCTTTTTTAGGAAGTAAGTATGCAAAAGTGGCACCTTTAGGTCTATTCGTTTGTAATAATAAAAGACACTTATTTAGTGTATTTGCAAAAATCCAAACCCAAAGTTATTTGCAAAGGAATTATCTTTAAAATTAATAAGAATGAGTTTATCTTAATAAGTATTGTCATTACAATTAAAAAATGACAATTTTAGAGTTCAAAGGGACCTTACAGATTTTGTAGATCAAGCCTCTTGATTTAAAAGATGAGAAAACTGTAGACTAAAAAGGTTAAATGATAAAGGCCAAAGAGCTAGCTCAGCAAGAGACTTCAGCATGGGAACTTCCTAACTTCCAGTACCTCCTAACAGTAGGCTGCCTCTTGTGGTTCTAACTCCTCTGCCTTGGATAGCGTACTGGTTGCCTCTTGTTCTACTCTGAGGCATAGCTGTCATTTGTAACTTTCCCATAAAATTCGAATTTTCCAACCTGTTTTCTGAATGAATTATTTTACAACTGAACATGTTAACCCTCAGCTTTCTAAATTTCAAAGCAATAAATACAGAATTCAAAAAATACTTGATTCACACGTGCAATACATATAACCAAACTGCAAAGGAAAATCCTCCTTTCCTGGATAATTCAGTTTACATCTATCACATGCTGAGACTATGTTAAGTGCTGGAGATATGAAGATGATTAAGATATGGCCCTTGTTCTCAAATATAATACCTTACAGCCTGGGAGGAAAAAAACTTTAAGCTAACAATTATAGGGTGCTTGTTAAGGACTGAAAAAGGACTGGGCAAGAACCTATAAATGCAGATAGAGATTTAGAATGATGGGATCAGACGGAGGTTCCCCAATGAGGTACTGAACAACAATAGGAATTCTGCTACCCATATTTAGCAGAATCCAAAATGAATTATAGTGGAGCCACTTCAATTGATTCGAGGAGAAAATGAAAATTGTGTTTTCACACAGCAGTTATCAAATAACTCTCTAATAACAATTAGACTTTTTTTCAGTGGAAAAGAACCAGATTGCATCGTGGCTGCATAAAAAGCAAAACACAGGTCTTATATGATTGCTTAGTAAAATTTTAAATCATTATTTTAAAATCAAAGAAAAAGACTGCATATCCAAAACACATCTAGTTAATATTCATGAAAGCTCTCTGCAAAGCTGCATAAAGTCCTCAAAATTTCAGGATAAAATTCCCATCTGTTACAAGAGAAATGACAACCTGGAGAACCAGTAGCCCAAGAAGGAAGAAAACTACCACTTATTTTCTTTTCTTAAACCTATCACTGGGGATGAAAACTACTCAGATTCCTTGATACTGACTTTCAGCTGGAAGATTTAGAAAAGAGAAGCACAGGAGACACTTTTATTTACATATTTAAGCAAAAGGAGAGGCGAGAAGAAAATCAGAGTGTAGACATAAGCGTGAAAGAAATTAAGAAAGTGAAGCCATGAAAGAGAGAAAAGGGTTGGGCAAGAACCCAAAAACCAAAGACATAAGAAAGGGTGGAAGAAGAGACATTGACTGAAGGATGGTTTTGGAAAAAGTGATACAGAAAGACAGGAAATGAGGGGGAAAGAATGGGGGGGGCTGTCTAAAAAAAAGACCGAGAGGGAACGACAGACAGGAGAAAGTAATTAACTGAGGCCACCTTCATCGGGGAGAATACGAGATCGGAATATGAAAGGTAGAGGAATCTAGAGACAAGCAGCGAGTTTAACCACCTTTTCCTCAGCCTCCACGCCCCAGAGAGGGAGGCAGAAGTGATTCCCAAGTCCCGGGGAAGGAATTCCGGCGCAGCCTTCAGAAACCACAATCCGCGAGTTGGGGCAATGTCCAGCGGGTCCCCGGCCCCTCTCCATCCCCTTCGGCCGCTGGGCGGGGCCCTGGGCGCCCTGGTTACCTGGACAAGGAGTCCACGCTGGGCGGCCGAGCCGCCGCCGGCTGGGAGCCAAGACTCTCGCAGCTGGAGCTCTTCTCCATGGCGCGGCAGTGGCAGCAGAGGAGAAGGCTGAAGCGGTCTTCGAGGCTGCAGGGCGTGAGAAGCAGAGGGCGGAGTGCTTCGGGCAGGGGCCGCAGTTAAGCCAGCGCCGGCCAGGGAGGGAGACCGGAAGCGGCCATGTTCCCCCAGAGTGCACCGCGCCTGGAGCCTGCGGGGGAGCGGGAAGACCCCCACTGCGTTGCTCCGACGCCTTCCCCGACGCGCTGTACTCGCAGTGTCCGGCCGCGCGACCTCTGTGCTTGGGGAAAGGGAGGTGGGGGCTTCCAGAGTGAGAGGGTCTGGCGAAGCGGGAGGAATGGGGGACCAGACCCTTGGGGAAGGTGGAGAAATCCTAGGTATAAGAGGAATGACGGAACATTAGGCCTGAGGGTCTCAGGAAAGAGATAAAAGACCCGAGGCCCAGAGAATGATTGAGACAGGAATGTGGAGATCAAGGAAAACATAAGGACGGGATAATGAGAGAAAAGTGAGGGAAAGAGGGATGGAAGAGGGAATGGGGAGGAAACTGATAAACATTAAAAAAGAATTATACACATATACTACAGGCTGCATTGACATTGGATATTCCACCCAAGTAGAAGGCAAACTTTTACCGATTTTTCCCTGCCCTTTCAAATTTCCCTGCCTAGCAGTAAGGGAGTGTGGAGGAATAGAACCGTGATAAGAGAAAAGGAACTGGGTAAAGGGGAAATGCTTCTGCTAGGATTTTTGTGTTACAGAGGACTCAGGAAGGCCATAAGAACACCATAAAGGAGTTTTTCTGATTGAGATTGAATCCCAATCATCTCATGTATGGGGTGTAAAATTATGCAAAGATTATTCCTTTTTTAAAAAAATCAGATGATCCTTAAGAGAAAAAATTTCCTTGCTAGGAAAAATAAAATTATATTAATTTAAATTAGATTTAATTTACATTGTACAACTGATGTCTTTTAAGAAACCTTATAGTTGCAGTGCAGTGTTAACTTGCAAGTACATTCCCCAGAAGAACAACCTAGCTTAGTTATGCTCAGTGTAAGCCAGAGTAGTTACTGATGAATGAGTATGTGTTGAAGCACAAAAGGCTTAGCCGTTCTGTTCCTTTTTTCAGTTTGGCAAGGACTGACAGCCACTGATTGTTTTTATTTCCATAATTTTTAAGAGACGTTAACTGTACTCTGTAGGCAAAGGGAGTCGATAGAAACATTTTTTAACAAACTTAAATATCTGTAATGACTCGTAGAAGAATTTCCTTATTTCTTCACCATCTCTACCTGCCTTCCAAAATGCTGACTCACTGTCAGCTACTTAGATTTCTTAAGTATGGTGAAGACTGATGAACCCTTGAATGGGAGACCCCTGTACTTTGTTCTACCCAGTTCATTCCTAGCATTGTGTTAATAGAACCCTCAGAACCTTCTTTTTTTTTTTTTTTTTTTTTTTTTTTTGAGACGGAGTTTTGCTCTTGTTACCCAGGCTGGGTGCAATGGCGCAATCTCGGCTCACCGCAACCTCCGCCTCCTGGGTTCAGGCAATTCTCTTGCCTCAGCCTCCCAAGTAGCTGGGATTACAGGCATGCGCACCGTGCCCAGCTAATTTTTTGTATTTTTAGTAGAGATGGGTTTCACCATGTTGACCAGGATGGTCTCGATCTCTTGACCTCGTGATCCACCCGCCTCAGCCTCCCAAAGTGCTGGGATTACAGGCTTGAGCCACCATGCCCTGCAGGACCCTCAGAACCTTCTGCCTGATGTAACAATGTGTGTATGGTTCTACCTAGTGATTAATAAAGAACAGTGTACTTAAAAATGTAGAGACATTGGAACCAGACAACCTGTGTTAGAATCCTGGTTCTGTCACTACATTTGCTGTATGCTTGTGGTTAAGTTGTTTCTTGTCTCTAAAATACGAATAAAAATACCCATATAATAGATTGTTTTCCTGTATACAGTCAGTTGTACAGTATGGTCTCAGTAATTAGATCTATTATTACTCGTTTTTCCACTGAACTTACTGCTTTACTTCTAACCTGGCTGGCAAAATGGTAACTTCTCAGAATGAAAACACAAGCAAAGAATATCAGCTGAAAATTAATTAGTGAACTCTAATTAATTAATGAACTGTAAGTGAAAAGAAAAATGAAAAAAATGGTTAACTCGAAACCTTACCAAAAGTTATTAATTTTCAATTTGTAGTCTGGGCTTTTTCTTACACTATCTGCAGGAAGGAACAGTGTTTTGTTTTTAATTTCTAAACCATCACCAACCAATACCTTTTTAAAAGATAAGAAAAATTAATCACAGTCGGCCCTTTATAGCCATGGCTTCCATGTCCTGAGATTCAACCAACCACAGAGTGAAAATTTTTTTTTAATTGTAAAAATTAACAATAAAAATAATACAAATAGAAAACAATACAGTGTAACAATATAACATTTACATTGTGTTCGATGTTATAAGTAATCTAGAGTCAATTTAAAGTATATAGGTGGATATACATAGGTTATTTGTGGATACTGTGCCATTTTATATAAGGGACTTGAGCATCCTTAGATTTTGCTATTATTGTTGGGGGTCCTGAAACCAATAACCTGAAGATACTAAGAAGTAACTGTACTAGGAAAATTAAATTTAAGAAAAAGGTATGCAAAATACAAGGCCAAATTGTTTATTAGATTTAACAGACACTACTCCATGAACGTTTCATAAAACTTCCTAAATATTTATTCTCATATTGCCTTTATCTCATCATAGACAGACAACAGTTCATGTGTGGATACTACACCAAAAAACTGTTGAGAGCTGATAATAAACTTGCAGAATACAAAATCAACATCCAAACTTAGTTGCACTTCTATACATCAATAATGAAATGGCCAAAAAAAAAAAAAAATCAAGAAAGCAATCCCATTTACAAATACTACAAAAAAAACAAAAAACAGGAATAAGTTTAACCAAGGAAATGAAAGACCTCCTCAAAGAAAACTATAAAACTCGGATGAAGGAAATTGAAGAAGATGCAAACAAATGGAAAGACATTCCATGGTCATGGAACAGAACAATTAACATTAAAATGACCATACTACACAAAGCAATCTACAAATTCAATGCAATGTCTATCAAAATATCAGTGTCCTTTTTCACAAAAAAAGAAAAATTCTAAAATTCACATCAAACTAAAAAACAGTCTGAATTGCAAAAGCAATCCTGAGCAAGAAGAACAGAATTGGAGGCATCAGACTATCTCACTTCAAAATATAAATAAATATAAGGCTATACCTACAGCAGGGTATTGGTATAAAAACAAACACACATACCAAAGGAACATTAGAGAGCATCCAGAAATAAATACATGCATTTACAGCCAACTGATTTTGGAGAGACATCAAGATTATCCTTAAACTGTGGGAAGAATAATCTCTTTAATAAATTGTGCTAGGAATTTTGGATATTCATATTCAGAAGAATAAAATTGGACCCCTGTATCTTACCACATACACAAATCAACTTAAGATGGATTAAAGACTAAAATGTAACACCTAAAGCTATAAAATAACTACAATAAAATATTAGGGAAATACTTCAGGACATAGGCAATGCTTTACAGCTAAAACATGAAAAGCACAGGTAGCAAAAGCACTAATAGACAAATGGGATTACATTAAAGTAAAAAGCTTCTTCAGAGTAAGGGAAACAATCAACAAAGTGAAGAGACAACTTGTTGAATGGCAGGGAATATCTGCAAACTATCTGACAAAAGATTAATATTTAGAATATATAATGAACTAAAAAATCTGAACAGTATAAAAACAAATAATCCCATTAAAAAAATAGGCAGGCCGGGCACAGTGGCTCATGCCTGTAATACTAGCACTTTGGGAGGCTGAGGTGGGCATATCACTTGAGGTCAGGAGTTTCAGACCAGCCTGGCCAAAATGGTGAAACCCTATCTCAACTAAAAAATAAAAAACTTAGGTGGGCGTGGTGGCACGTGACTATAATCCCAGCTACTTGGGAGACTGAGGCAGGAGAATGTCTTGCACCCAGGAGGCAGAGGTTGCAGTGACCCAAGATTGCACCACTGCACTCTAGCCTGGGCAACAAGTAAGACTCTGTCAAAAAAAAAAAACAAAAACAAAGGCAAAGGGGCTCTTGGCTGTAATCCCAGCACTTTGGGAAGCAGTGGTGGGTGGATTACCTAAGACCAGGAGTTTGAGACCAGCCTGGCCAACATGGCAAAATCCCACCTCTACCAAAAATATAAACAAATAAACAAATTAGCTGGGCATGGTGACAGGTGCCTGTAATCCCAGCTTCAGGAGGCTGAGGCAGGATAATCCTTGAACCTGGGAGGCGGAGGTCGCAGTGCGCCTGGAGTATACCACTGCTGGTATACTTCAGCCTGGGAGACAGAGTAAGACTCCGTCTCAAAAAAAAGCAAAGGACATAAACAGACATTTCTCAAAGGAAGACACAAGAATAGCCAAAAGGTATATGAAAAAATGCTCAATTTCACTAATCATCAGGACAATATAAGTCAAAACCACAGTGAGATACCATCTTATCCCAGCCAGAATGACTGTTATCAAAAAGATAAAAAACAGATGCTGGTGAGAATGTGAAGAAAAGGGAATTCTTATACTCTGTTGGTAGGAATGTAGATTAGTACAGCCAGTATGGAAAATAGTCTGGAGATTTCTGAAAAAAAACCTAAAAATAGAACTACCATATGATCCACCATTACCCATTCCTGGGTGTTTATTCAAAGGAAAATAAATTAGTTATCAAAAAGATACCTGCACCCCATGTTTATTTTGCAGCACTATTCACAGTAATAAAGATATGGAACCAACCTACATGTCCATCAATGGTCAAATGAATAAAGAAAATATATATACACAATGAAATACCATTCTGCCATAAAAAAGAATGAAATCATGTCATCTGAAGCAACATAAATAGAATTACAGTTCATTATGTTAAGTGAAATAAGCTAGGCACAGAAAGACAAAAATCACATGTTCAACATCTCTCATATATGGGAGCTCAAAAAGTCAATCTCATGGACGTAGATAGTAGAACGATGGACACCAGGGGCTAGGAAGGCTGTGTAAAGGAAGGATGAAGAGCAGTTGGTTACTGAGTACAAACATACAGTTAGAGAGAAGAAATAACTTACGGACCGGGTGCAGTGGCTCATACAATTTCAGC